ATTAGCATAAATATACTTATTATTACTATATATATTTTTTTTATCTATACTACTTAAGCTTATTACTTTAGCTTTTTAGCAGCTTTTTTAGCTACTATACTTGATGCTTAGTAATACTAGTTATACTACTCTTACTATAGCTTTTAATACCTTTCTTAAAGTAGTAGTAAAGGTGTATATTATAAATAAAACTTACACTAAGGTAGTAGCTAGTATAGCGTTGCTTTAAAGGCTTTTTAAATAGTTTTACATAGTCTTTTATAAAGTCTTTTAGCTAGTTTAAAATTAATTTAAGCTCTTACTTATATATTTTCGTCTTTATACGCTTACTACACATATACTACTTAACTACTACGTATATATTTTTTATCTTCTTTTAACACCTACTAGTTATATTTAGTTAGCTAGCTTATTAAACGTATTAAGTATTTAATCTAGCTAGCCTTACGTCTTTTTAACTACTTTTACTTTTTATTTATTATTTAAGTCTTTTAATACTAGCATTATTAAAAGCGCTTATTCTATACCTACCTTACTCTCTTAGTGCTTTAATAGTAAGACTAAGAAAACGTTATATAGTTAACTATATTATTTTAGTAGTTCTAGTTAGTATGCTTGTTTGCCTATAGTCTTAAGGATTTTAAAAGGCGTAATCTATCTTAGTACTAGCTTTTTATTTTCTAAACAAAGGTTTTTTATAAAAAGGCTTACTAGCTCTTTTAATATAAAGCATATAAGCTAGTAGCGTATATTATAATAATGCTTTTAGCGCTTTATTATATACTTTTAGTTTACTACTAACCTTTTCTATACTGCTTCTAGTTTCTTTAAGCAGTTATATACTACTAAGACTATATTGCGTATACTTTGCTTTTCTTTTACAGTTATACTACTTTTAGGGTAAGTTTTTAAGTTTAGTTTTTAATTATATAACGCTTTAAATACGTTACTTTTAGTTATTACGTTAGTAGTATTATTATAAGCGTATTATGTTAAAGATAATAAGAAAAGCTAATTTAATTACTTCTTTATTATAAAGTAGCGTAAATACTACTTTAATATTTAGTTAAATTTCTTTTCTTTACTTAACTATTTACTTAAAAGTAAAATATAATTAATAGCTACTTATAAATTATAGTTTAGTAGTAATATTTGCTTTAAAATTTACTAGTAAATATACTTTCTTAGTTAAATACTATACTCTTTAGCGTTACGCTATATACTAGTTCTATATATTAGTATATAAGGTGCGTAAAGCCTTTAGCCGTTAAGGTAGTCTATACTATAAAGAAGAGGTTTATTTTTATAAAGCAGTTAACGATTACTAAGATTGCATCTACTTTGCTACCTATATACGCTTTAGCTACTAGTAGCCTAGTAATTTAGTCTATAAAGATTTCTTACTAAAGACCTTATAGTAGCAGTAGCAAATTTAGCTTACTATATTACACGTACTATTAAATCGTTTATCTTTAGCAAACTAGGTATAAGGCAATATAAGCCTTTATATTCTACTTTATCTTTTCCTAGTAAAAGTAGCAATAAAGTAGTTTTAAAGTCCTAGCAACTATAAAGTGCTTAAACATTTAGTTATTATAGTAAAGCTATAGTAGCTCTTTAATAAAAAACGTACACACTACTTATATATAAGCAGTTTTCCTATAGTAATATACTATTTAATATAAAGCCTTATAGCTTTATTATTACTTTTATACTTATAGTATGCTTTATATATACTTTAATAACTTATACCTTTAGGTTTATATCTTAAATTCTTACTATTACTTTATAAATAGCTTTAAATACTTTGTTTTCTTAAAGGTATAACTTTAAAGTAGCAATAATAACTAGTTGCTATAGTAAACTAAAGTATACTAAGTTCTTATTCATACTTACTAAAGGCGTTAAACCTTTAATTAGCGCTATAATAGTAGTATTCTTAAAGGCTTTTTAAAGTCTTTTATAGTTACTTAGCCTTCTTAGTTTACTACGCTTTACCTACTTTAGTAGTGCGCTATTTTACGCTATAGTAGCTTACTATGTAAGATCTAAGGCTACTAAGATCTTAAAGGTAATGCTTAGCTTTTTTTCTTTATTAAGTTTTTTTATAGGTGTATATATCTTATACGTCTTATTTATATAAGCTACGTTAGTAACTAGCTTAGCGCTACTATCTTTTATAATAGGTGCGCGTATTTTACGTGTCTTTTACGCTATAGCTATAGTGCTTACTAACTATACGTCTTTCTTTTATACTTTAATATTAGCTATTCTAACTTACTTAGGTTTATTAAAGTAATCTAGTGTTAAAGGTATACTTAGGTAGGCTAGGTAAGTTAGGTAGGCAAGGAGGTATCTTCTTAACAAAAGGAAGCAGCCGTATATTTAATAGCTAATTCTTGCCTTCTATACTCTAAGGGAGTGCAAGAGGCGCTCTTTATCATAGGCGCACCTCTAGCGCACTAAGTGCGCAGGGCAGGCGCGACCCCGTTTCTACTTAGCCCGTGCGCTAGCACGTGCTATAGCCTATACGCAGACTGCGCCACGCAGCCTGCGCTATAAGCACCGCTTCTAGTCTACAACGTGCATCTAATACGCTGTACGCATACTGCGTACGGCTTGTGCGTAGCCTGCGTCGGTCCCCTTCCTAGGGCGGCGTTATATAAATTAATAAGCCTATTAATAAAGGCCTAGTTAATTACCTACTAATAGTTGCAAATTGCCTGCTTAAAAACCTTTATATTTATTACGTTTTTCTTTAATTCCTATATATTAAGGTATTTTGTAACTAAAAGACGCTTTAATTAAGCTTAAACATATTTAATTAAGTTTAAATTTAAGCTATAGGCAGGCTATAAAAGGTAGCATCTTAATCTACTTATTTACAAGCTACTATATTAATAATATAAATATATATACCCTTATATTATCTTACTAGTAATACTAAGAACTAATATAAAAAGATAGAAGGCCTTTTATTAATACTTTCTAATAGCTTTATAAACTATAGCTACCTTTTTTTACCTTTAAGGTAGTCTCTTTTTATTAAGATTAACTTTATACAGCCTCCTTTCTAAATACTACCCTAAAACATTAATAAAATCGTAGGTTTTTAGTATAATTAAACGTTTACTAAGTCCTTTTGCCATTTCTACGCAAATGTTTAAAAAAATAAGACTATCGCTGCTATTAACTACAATTTAGCAGCTACTTTAGTTAAAGAAGAGAGTCTAGCAAATTAGCATAAATTCTACTATATTTAGCAAAGCATGTATAAAAAGCAAATCGTCTTTGTCTTATAGCTAGTTACGCGCAAATTTAAGCCTATCCTTTGCTGTATTTGCCGATCATAGTATTCTATCTATAGCCTTCTATTTTTGTATTCTATTCTTATAAAATGCGCGCCGTACAGTTAAATAAGAGGGCCAACAAACTATCTGCTTTGCTAGCTCCTTATAGGTAATGTTTAAGTGCCGCTTTGCTTGCTAAAGAAGGTAACGTTTATCTTAACAGCTAAGCAACGCAGGCCTGCCGCGGCCAGGTCTATTCTTAAAGCTGTGCGTTTCTATAACCCGATTAATCGTCTTGGTAACTGCGCTGCGCGTAACGCCAAAAGCCTTTGCAACGGCGCCTTATGACTAGCCGGCGTATATAGCACTATAAATAGCAGCGTGCGCAGGCAAACTTAGCTGGCCTGCAGCCTTCGTTTTAGCCGCTAGAATGGCACCAAATTCAGCTAATTTGGATATCTTTTCGTTGATTTGTGGTGATTCTAAGTAAGGGTAGGTGTTGGGAGTTAAATGAGAAACGCGAAAAATCGCGGAGGTGGTTCTATATTTTTGGAACCCCACTGTACTTAATAGAAGTCTAAGCTAGGAACGCTGCACTAAAGATGGCCTGTGCGTGCAGTACCGCGCAATATATCCGTTGTGGAGTCGGGTCGTTCTGTTACGCCTAAATTGCATTAAAAACTGCAGAAAGTTGTTAAGAGTCGGGTTAGAATTATAACAACATAAGCGTATACTGTGGCCCCCTTTTAGTGTATACTAAGGCCTAAAGTGTTACTCTATAATGCCTATAAGGACCGCATTGCGTCGCAGCCAGAATATACCCTCTATTCTTATATTCTTATATGTATACAATCACTAATATGGCGCTAAATAAGTGTAGATTGTCTTCTTAAGCACCTTTTAGAGATGCATTATCGTATGATAGCTTAACTTCTAAACGTATTGCAACCAGCCTAAGCCACTTTCCTACATAGTACAGTTAAACAGTAAGATTGCTACTAAGCGTCTTGTTGGGGCAATAAGGAATATGGTATCCCTTAGGTGACGAAGAAAGTTAGTAGGCTAGTCCATGAAGCACATGTTTTACATTGAATCTGCGTATTTTCGTGAAGAATCCGGTGGTCACGGACGCATACGAATAGGAATAGGCAGATGACAGCTTGCAAGCGGTCATACTGCGTACAATCTGATTCCTTCGGCGAACACCATGGTGTGTTTCGGAGTGGGGCCGTCTGAATCAAGAGCAAACCTTCAAAACCGATCGTGCAGCGTTGCTGTTTAGGGCAGTTCGGTTCCGAAGGCTCTGTATCCGAGGCTCGGTTGTGTACAGCAATATTAAAATATCGTGCGGGGAAGACTTTAGGAAGCTAAAGATACGCAAAGTGGGTAGATTAATGGTGCCGTGGAGACTAACACTGGCCGTTTTATTTACCCTGTCTCTCCACCTTAATCGTGACGATCCCGAAAAAAAGCTCCGAGTCATTCTAGGAGCGGCGGGTGACCATTACCGTCATTGCCGATAAGTTAGAATTGTAGTGCTTAGCTTGGAAACAGGCTCTGTAGTAAGGAAGGGAAAATGTATAAGAAGCGATGGACATCGTCGTATACTTGATCGTTTCTGGCTTAAGACACTTGCCTTCCTCGCACTAAAGCCTCTACTGTCCTAAATCCCACTAAAGCAATTGCCATTTCTTCACTCGATTAACCAGGATGGGTGTCAATGGCTGGATGTCTCGCAAGACTGCGAATTGGTCGCAGTCTTGGTATATGAGCAATACCGCTGTGCAGTATGTCTGCGCTGCGTGCGGTGCAACCTCTGGCGTCTTCTTTATTGTCGCCTTCATTGTTGCCAACTTCATACCTCCGACACACCCTTGGTGGACAGCGGAGCAAACGGCACACTTTTACCAAGACAACAAAACACGTATCCGCGCCGGGGCTTCCATTCTTATGATTGCTGGCGGGTTTTATCTCCCGTTCTCTACCGCAATTTCCTATCAGATCCGTCGCATTCCTCGCATTCCTTGGATTATCTACCAAATGCAACTGGCTTCTGCTGCAGCTGGTATCTGGACGTTCATGCTGCCTGGCATTGTCCTTGCAATAGCATCATACCGACCTGAGCGTCCCGTTGAAATCACACACGCGTTAAACGACTTCTTTGTAAGTTATTACTTGTTTCCTTTATAATAAAGCCTGATAATTCTTTGACCTTAATAACCTTTTAATAGTGGCTTGTTGCACTAATGCCTTGGCCTACGTTTATGGTCCAAAACTTTGCCTTCGCTTTCGCCATTATCTACGATAACCGTAAGATACCTCTCTTCCCGAAAGAGCTCGCCATTTTCAACATGATAATGCCAATTATTTTCGCCACGGCTACTGGGATTCACACTCAACTTAGGGGCCCGTTTGCGTATAATGGCGTTATCGCATTCTACATTGTCGGCTTTACCTTTGTCGTTCAGTTGATTGTGGATGGTATTTTCTTGGCTCTCGCGGCGCGCAATGAGCAGAGGGCCGAACAAGAGGGAAAGCTCGAGGATTACGAGAACAACGTGGGAGGGAACTTGGGCCTTTCGAACAGTGCCTAAGCTTAAACGTCTAAGACGGAAATTCAAGGACAGACCGATAAGATTATGGCTCAGTTAACAAGTACGTTGTTCAACGTTTGGCATGTTTAAGAATGCAGACTGGCTATGGAGAATGGAATTTGGAAATGATGTGGAGTTGTGTATGGAAATATCCTAGGGTAAGCGGCGCAGAGAAGAAACTTGTTAGTGACGATGGCAGCAAGGCAATAATACCCCGTTCGTACGGAGTACAGACGACGTACAGGTTTTTTGGGCTGCTACAAGTACTCGTAAGATACGTTCTTTAATGTCACGCTAAAACGATTTGCTTGGTAGGTGCGGGATGATCTATTGGGCAGAATTTAGATAAGACCCCCAACCTTAGACACTACCTAGCAAACCTTAATGATACGTTATATTTAGATTGCTAGCCCTCGTATTTAGTCAAAATGTCTGCGATAATTCTCAGATTGGTTTATTCGACGGGAGGGTAATAACATAACCATTTTAAATGGTTAAATGACCCGGCTAATACTGCAGCGGCTGACACAATTCGCTAATAATCAGGTGTGCGTTAACCTGATCGTATGCCTGATTGCATTTTTGGGTTAGCTTGCGAGCCTTTAGTTCAAGCTCGCTTCCGAGGTCACGTCGTATCAACTGCCTAATCGCACGTAACGTTGGGCAATGCGACATGGCCTCGTTATGGTCGTGGAACTTTGTGTGCAATAACGGTCTGTGCACTCGTATGATGTTACAACGTACGTCGTGTATGTTCGGTTGACAAACAGAAAGACAATGTTCTCTTCGCAGATGCAACATATTTATCACTGACGCTGCGTCTTACGTACTAACAATAGGCTATCGCAGCCTATATTACATTGCGCCTTGGAACAGAAAATTAAGAAGCTTGTATTATTCAAATGCCGCGTTAAAAGATTTATTCTACAATATGTAGTTGACTCGTATCTCTTAATGGGGCATTATATGTAATCCAGCTAATACTTCGTACAATAAATATAGTCGGGGTTAATTCCTATCGGACACTTGTTATAGAGAATTGCTAATCGCACCGTAACCCACTTAAATTGTAGGGGGTGTATTAGGTGGATCTTTTAAAGGCCTACATAATAAATGTTAATTGGCTAATAAAACAGCATATGCGTTGCCTATTTAACTAGCTTAAAAATAATAAATATTAAGCTAGCCCCCCCCCCTTTTTTTTTTCTTTACCTTCTATAAGACCTATAAAACGTTTGTGAATCCGCTAATTATATTCGAATACGTTGCCTAGTTAGCAAAACATCAGAAACAGCGATTTAGGTTTTCCGCCCCCCCCCCCCTTATCGTCACTAAGTCCTAGACCTACAAAATAAGCTAAAACCAACTAATTACGTTACAGAGTCTAGCCGCCTAATTGATGCGAATTTTCTGTAGCTAAAGTCTATACCCCCTCCCTTTCTCTCCCTTTACCTCTCCCCCTCCCTCTCTCTTTACCTTTGCCTCTCCCTTCACCTTTACCTTTGCTATTGCTAGTAAATATTCTAGCGCATTTGCTAGCGCATCTTCTAGTGTATCTACAGGCGCATCTGCAGGCGCATTTACAGGCGCATCTACTAGATCTTTTACTACTTTTTTAACTATATTTAATAAGCGGCTACGCTTGCGCGTAGCCGCGTTATTATTGTTTATTCTAGCTTAACTTAGGCTATACTTAAAAGCTAAAAGCTTACGTTATATAAAGCTGAAAGTAAGGCGTACTTTGTTTTTTTAACTGCTAGTAATAAAAGAGCCTTAACTTTTATTATATACTTATATAAGGTTAGACTATAGTATAGAGAACATACTAAGCTTTTAACTGTTAAATAGCCTATTATTAAAAAGTTTACCTTTTTAATAATAGATAGTATTTAGCTTAAGGATAGTTAGAAGGATTATTAGCCTGAAAAGTAATTAGTATTAAAAGGCTTACTAAATATAAAAGGATTACCTAAAGTATAAAATTCTAAAGCAATCTAGTAATAATTTAAGTAAGCTTATAATTAAAAGTATATATAAGCCGCGCAAAGCTTAGTAAGGCTAAATTAAGGCGCTTAGTAAGTCTTACTTAATAGTAAAAGAAAGTACTACTTAGCCTTACTAAAGGCGCTAAGCTACGTTTAGCCGCCAACAGCAAATAAGTAAGGTAGTACTAAGTAAGCTTTACTAAGCGACTTTAAGCGTTCTACTATACTAAACTACTATTATAGTATATATGTATTTTATAAGCGCTTACTAAAAACAGATTTAAAAAAAGTATAATTATAAAAAGATTAACTAGAGTATAGAATATTAAAGCGATTTAATAATAATTTAAGCAAGCTTATAGAATAAAGTATGTGCAGGCTATGCAAGGCTTAGTAAGGCTAAAGTAAGGCGCTTAGTAAGTCTTGCTTAGTAGTAGCAGAAAGTACCGCCGAGCCTTGCTAAGGGCGCTAGGCTGCATTTAGCGACTAATAGCAAATAAGTAAGGTAACGCTTAGTAAAGCTTGCTAAGCGCCCTTAAGCGTTTTGCTATGCTAGACTACTATTATAGTATATCTATATTTTATAAGCATTTGCTAATAATAAATTTAAAAGGAGTAAGATAAAGTTTTACTTTTACGCTTTTTATTAACTAGCGTTCTAGTTATAAGCTTAATAGTAGCTAGTAAGGTAAAGTATAAGAAAGTAAGCTTATTATTAAGTATAATAGCTATTAATAATAATTTTAACAAAGCTTTTTTATAAGATATATATTGTATAGCCTTACCTACTAACCTACCTTTAAATAACTTAAGTATACATTTATAAATCTACTTTAATAATCAGCTTAAAAAACTAATATAGACGCTATCTTAATTATAAAAAACGCTATAAAAGTATTAGCCTTAACTATCTTAAATATAGCTTTTTGAAAATATAACGCTTATATACTAACTTATTTATTTAAGATTCTTAATAGTAAAGCTATTATAATAAAGGCTAAAACTTAAATTTAAAGCGTAAAAGCTATGAATAATAACTACTGAAATATATCTTTATATTATAATATTTTTAAGCGTTACCAAAGCTTTTTAATATAATTACTATAAAGTAAAAAGTATAAAAAATAAGGCTAAATAGTATAGGTTATAAAAAAAAAGCATATTAAGAATAGTTTACTACTTTTTTTTATAAAAAGCACTTAAAAAGTATTAGAATAAAATCTTCTTTAGCTACTAGTATTATAATAAAGATAAGACTTATAACTTACTTTAAGCATTTAGTTACTACTATTAATATATCTTTAGACTTTATAAAGAAATCTTATTTTATAATATTAAGCTATAAAACGCTTATATAATACTATATATATATAAAAACTTTAGTTAAGTAGCCTTTATATTTACAAATAAACTACTAAATAAGCGTTACAATTATAGCTTAAAAGGTTACTAGCTATAGTTAAATAATAAAGATAATACTACTTAGCTAATAATAAACGTTATAGCGCTTAAAAAAGCTAAAGCTATAGTAAAGTTAAGTATTATAAGGTAAAACTATAATAAGCTAGACTAGTAAGTACTACTACTATAGTAAGTAAATGTATATTAGTTATAACTACTTAAAAAAGTATAAGAGACATTAGTAAGAGTATATATAAAAAAACTCTCTTTTAATTTAAAACCCTCTTTATAGTAAAGAAAACCCCTTTTACCTTCTTTACTATACTAAAGAAGTAAAAGAGATATATAAAGCTTAAGATGCTTATTAACTATTTATTAATTATTAAAGCTAACTTTACTAGTTTTACTAGTAAAGAATAAGTACTAGTACTAGCCTAGCTAAATATAGCTACTACTATTTTAGTTATTAGCTAAAGAAGATATAGTTTTATAAACTAAACCTTAAAAAGATAAGTAAAAAGTATATTAATATTTATAAAGCTTAATAGTACCTATTTACGCAAGTTAATACTAAAGGTAAGTTATATATAATAATACTCCTATACTATATAATTAAGTAAAGTAAGTTAGTAACCTAAGTTTTACTCGTTTATAATAAAATATCGCCTTTTAGTATTTATATTAATATAGCTAGCTTTTTGTAAGAATTTAAATAAATTTAAAAAGTTACTATTTATAGCTTATATATCTTTTATACACCTTAGCCTAAGCGTCTTAGCAATCTAAGTTGTAAGCATTTACTTATTAAAGGAACTTATAGTAGAATCTTCTAATAAAAAGAATGCTATAGAATAAAAGTACTACTACTCTTAGCTTAAATTATAAACTTTATAAATATTATAATCTTAGCAAATATAAAATCTTTGCTAGTATATAAGGGTATTTTATATATGTTAAAGGTGTACTTGGGTAGGCCAGGTAAGTCAGGCAGGCAAGGAGGTATCTTCTTAACAGGAGGAAGCAGCCGTATATTCAATAGCTAATTCTTGCCTTCTGCACTCTAAGGGAGTGCGGGAGGCACTCTTTATCGTAGGCGCACCTCTGGCGCACCAAGTGCGCAGGACAGGCGCGACCCCGTTTCTACTTGGCCCGTGCGCTAGCACGTGCTGTCGGCCTGTGCGCAGA